GATCCACCTGCCTCGGCCTCCCAAAGTGCTGGGATTACAGGCTTGAGCCACCGCGCCCGGCCCCTTTTGAGATTTGTAAGTGTTAGATTCTCAGTCTCTCTGGATCTGGGAAAGGCATAGAAAGGAGAGGAGGAGAAGCTGCATGAAAGGAGATTATCTACAGATGTAAATTTTTCCCATTTAAGACAGCTTTGCAACCCATTTCTGCCTGATGGACAAGCAGCAGCCATTTCAAAATATGTCAAAGAAATATATTGTGTGGTAAAATATTTTGATTTCCTTTAGACTGACTGGTGGCTTTATAAGAAGAGGAAGAGACACCTGAGCTGACTCACACACTCTTGCTGTCTCAGTATGCTCTGATGCAGTGAGAAGGCCCTCACCAGATACTAATGCTATCCCATTTGCTTCCCACGTTTGAGAACAGTAGGAAATAAATTTATTTTCTTTAGAAGTTTGCCAGTCTGTGGTATTCTGTTACAATATCACAAAACGGAGAAAGTAACTATATTATGAAAACCTTACATGACTGATCCCTCCTATGTCACACACAAATACAGGCCACATTTAGAACACTGTTGGAGGCTCAACTGTCCAATAGAAATATACTACAAATTACATATGTAATTTTTAATTTTCAGTATCTTCAATAGTATATTTTCTTTAACTTTTATAATCAAAATATCATACTGTATATTCAATAGGAATAAATATTAGTGAGATGTTTTACACTCTTTCTTCATACTAAGTTATATGGTTTGTACATTTGTCCCCTCTAGTGCTCATGTTGAAATGTAATCTCCAATGTTGGAAGTGAAGCCTGGGGAAAGGTATTTAGATACTGAGGGCGAATCCCTCATGAATGGATTGGTGCACTCTTCATGGTAATGAGCAGGTTCTCACTTTGAGTTCACAAGAGATCTGGTTGTTTAAAGGAGTGTGGCACCTCCACCCTCTCGCTCAGCTCTCACCATATGATATGCTTGCTCCTCCTCACAGTCCGCCATGACTGGAAGTTTCCTGAGGCCTTGCCAGCAGCAGATGCCTGCGCCACACCTCCCATACCGCCTGCAGAACTGTGGGCCAAAAAATTACTTTTCTTTACAAATTACTCAGTCTCAGGGATTCCTTCATAGTAATGTAAGAACGAAATAACACACTAAGACTATTTCATACTTACAGAATAGCTCAATCTGAAGTATCCTTTTTCAACTTCTCAGCTACTTGTAACTAGTAGGCACTGGTTTGGAGACTGTTGAATGGTGAATTGTATTATGCAAATAATTGATTTTTTTTTTTAAGTTCTTTTTGCAAACTATGAGGAATCAGATTGTCTTGCTTTCACTTCTCCTGGAATTGGAGTTGCTATTGGGAAACAACTTATTTTCCTTTTATATTTATAAGGAATAAATAACCCCCAATATCTCCTTCCCCAATATCTGCCTTCTGTTATGTTATTCAAAGGCAAGTGCCTAGAATTTACTGTTTTTGAGGCACTTTCTGAAAGGATTCCCATCAAGTTGTTTTCTAACAGCACATGCCGAGCACTTGTAGCTTTGCTTCATTCAAGGTAACTTGGATGAGGTGAACAGTTTTTCTCATTCATGGCCCAATGGAGCATAGATTAGTGATACTGTGACTGCATGTACTCCTGCTTTCTAGCCTTAGTTTTTAAAGCTACCCTTAATCATGGTTTCAATTTTATCTAGCCCTGTGCATAACAAGGGCTCTTTCCAGAATGAGCTACAATTGGTTCAGGAAGTTAGAATTGCTATACCTTCTGAACCTTGGTTCCTGACATTTCCGGGACCTCCAATACATCCAGCATTTTATTGAAGTATTTATTCTTCCTACTTGGCTGGCTTCTTCGCTGCTTTCAGGTGTGAATTCGAATGGAATCCCCCGGATGAAGCTTTCCCTCCTTATCCCTATTCTTGTTTCTGATCCCCTTTCGTTCTTTTTCTCCATAGCACTCATCACTTATCTCCACATTTTTACTGTGTATTTACCTTATTGTGCACCTCCCCCTACAAGAGAAGTAGCACCCTAAGGAAACAGGTTGCTGTCTGCTTTTTCACTGCTATGCTCCCTGCACCTAGAACACTTTCTGGCACTTAGCAGGTTTTCGGTAAATATATGCTGAACTAATGCTGGATGCACATCTCCCTCCTGAACTCCCTCTAATTTACAGTGATCAATATTCTTTTCTATGCACTTTTGTATTATTTATTGCTCAAAACCTTGAATTTGTATACAGAATGTGCTCTGCTATTTAATCTTTCGGTATCCAAGTCCTCCCTTCTCAGAGTATAAACTCTTTAGGGCAGTATCTAACTTTTTATCATCGCCATCGAGTCTTGCACCTTTTTAAAGAAAATGAGCCAGTGGTTACTGATATTTACTGCTATTGTTGAGGGCGAAGATCATTATAATTTTGAAAAGGGAGGTTGAATACTGTGAGGGGAAAAATATCACCAGAGTCAGAAGACTTGGGAAAATGAAAAAAAAAAAAAAGTAAAAATGAGTACTTTCAGTCTCCTGACAGTTTCTCTGAATCAAATCCATTATTCTATGACAGCGTTGGCTTAGGAGCAGATTTTCTTTTTTTAATTTTTATTTTTTGCCCTTCCAATTGTAAGGAGCAGATTTTCTTTCTTTCTTTCTTTCTTTCTTCTTTCTTATTCTCTTTCTCTCTCTCTCTCTCTCTCTCTCTCTTTCTCTCTTTCTTTCTAGATGGAGTTTTGCACTAGCCCAGGCTGGAGTGCAGAGGCACAATCTCGGCTCACTGCAATCTCTGCTTCTAGGGTTCAAGAGATTCTCCTGCCTCAGTCTCAGGAGTAGCTGGGTTACAGTCACCCTCCACTACGCCCGGCTAATTTTTTGTATTTCTATTAGAGACCAGGGTTTTACCATGTTGGCCAGACTGAACTCCTGACCTCAAGTGATTCTCCTGCCTCAGCCTCCCAAAGTGCTGGGATTACAGGCATGAGCCACTGCGCCCAGCCAGGAGCAGATTTTCTTACATCCATGGCTCTTTTTGCTTCTGCCATCCTGTTTGAGTGCAAGTAGACCAAAGACAGAAGTAGTAGATACCTCAGAAATTCCTGGAATAAGTAATCCACCTTCATCCAGACCCCATCTGCTCCTGTCTCATGGAATATAAAAGGAAAACAGCAAGATTTCTCTACTCAATCCTGCTTGATTTTAGGTTCCTCAACAGGAGAGCCAGGTAATGACTGGAATAATACTGTCGGGGCCAAAGGAAAACTTCCCCTTTGCCCTCCCAAGGTTCACTGAAAATTACCGGCAAAACACGGATTAATTGGAGAAAAGGTGGATACCTTGATTTCATCACAACTTTACAGGAGCTTTTAGAAGGAAGACTCAAAAACACAGGGGCGATTGCCCATTTTTACGCCTAGGTTCAGCAATATAAACAGCTGGATAGGATATGATCTAATGCGAACAGACTGAGTGGGGAAGGCCTGCAAAGCTTGTCTGTCAAGATTCTTCTTGACCTCTCAGTACAGCATTCTTTCCTTCTTGTTATGGCACAAGACCCTCTTTCAGAATGGGTGTGGGGGGGGTCTTATGACCCATAGGCAAACAAGGTACGTTAGAGTGATATTTTTAGGTTTTATAGCTGGCTCCGGGGAAAAGGAGTTCTGGTTTGTAAGGCCCACCTTGAGGAGGAATCCTACTTTCTATGGTTAGCCTCTGGGGAGAATGGGACTTAGACAGGAAGGCAGAAGTTCAGAGAAACACTTTTATGATAATAATCCCGTTTTGAGTATTTCTGCGTTATGAAATGTTTGTTCCATCATTTCCTGAAAGATTCCAGACTCCTCATTCAGTGTTACAAAAGAGTTCAGGAAATGCAACTCTAAGGTATGCCGCTTTGGTATGCTGATGTGAACAGATGGCACGTAGGAAACAGGAAACAGTACATTCAGAGACGGGCTTTCCGTGAATTCCTCTCATCACAAATTTCAAAATTTATAGACAGAATTTCAAAAAGGATTTTAGTTGTCAAGAATCACTTTTCTAGACAATCTCATTAACCAGAGAAGAGGAACTGAATCACGAGAAAGGAGCCTAACACCATTTAGACACTTTGTCACAGCCGTCACCTATTTGAAACATCCATTTATTTTTCTCCCAAATCATATATTTTCCCCGGTTTTCCTGCATCCCCCTTCTCTCTCCCTTATGAAGAGAGCTTATAAACTTCTGCAATTCACTGGGATTTGGAGTATTGGCTTTTCTTCCCTCCCACCCCCACCCCAACCCCCATCCCCCTTTTTTCCAGAGTCTCCTAGCTCTGTCTCTCAGGTTGGAGTGCCATGGCTCTATCTTAGCTCGCCGCAACCTCCGCCTCTCAGGTTCAAGGGATCTTCCTCTCCACTTGCTGGAACTACAGGCGCGCACTACCAAGGCCGACTCCCCCCCACCCCCAGGCATTTTTTGGTATTTTAGTGGAGACAGGGTTTCTCCATGTTGTTCACGCTGGTCTCGAACGCCTGACCCGCCACCCACGGCCTCCCAAAGTGCTGGGATTACGGACAAGAGCCACCGCGCCCGGTTTGAAGGACTTATTAAATAGTACCCATTTAGAAATTGGTTGGAGTCCACTCCTTTCCAAAAGCATGAGTCACACTGCCGGAAAACTACGAGCGGCTAAAAGTCAAAATCGCCAGCAGAAAACCTCCACAAAAACGTATTTTGAGAAAATCCCAATTGGGTCAATTATTGGTATTCCAGTCGAAGTCTCGTCCAGCCAGACTCCTCACTGGGTCAGACATCTAAACCTTTCACCAGATGGAAGAATCACATGCAAATGAAGGATGCAGAATGTGATCTCCCATTGGGTGTTTGACATTAGCCAATGGAAGCATTCCCCGCTGGCTACCTCCAGTCAGTATAAATGCTTCTCAGCCTTCCCTCGTAGGGTATTCTCATTACGTTTTTTTGTGAGGATTTTCCTTTTTTTTTGCTGAGGAAACCATGTCTGGTCGCGGCAAGCAGGGCGGCAAAGCCCGCGCCAAGGCCAAGACCCGCTCTTCTCGGGCCGGGCTCCAGTTCCCCGTGGGCCGCGTGCACCGCCTGCTCCGCAAGGGTAATTACTCGGAGCGGGTCGGGGCCGGCGCGCCGGTCTACCTGGCGGCGGTGCTGGAGTACCTGACGGCCGAGATCCTGGAGCTGGCGGGCAACGCGGCCCGCGACAACAAGAAGACCCGCATCATCCCGCGCCACCTGCAGCTGGCCATCCGCAACGACGAGGAGCTCAATAAGCTCTTAGGACGTGTGACCATCGCGCAGGGCGGCGTCCTGCCCAACATCCAGGCCGTGCTGCTGCCCAAGAAGACCGAGAGCCACCACAAGGCCAAGGGAAAGTGAAACGCTAACGCTCCAAGCACTGCTGTTTTTCTGAGCAGGCAAAATCTGCCTAACAACAAAGGCTCTTTTCAGAGCCACCTACGACTTCCGTTAAACGAGCTGTTGTGCTTTGTATTGTGCTGCCCGTACAGATGTTTTTGTGGTACAATAAGGTTCTATAACACTTAATTTGCACTGCAGAAATCTGGCTCTCTAGAAACCTCAAGTAGATCTAGGTATGGAAGAAAAGCCACGCAGCACGCAAAACATTACACATACAGGGATGATTCTCAACCTCCACACCAAACATTTAACTACATTTTAGAGAAAGAAAATTGGACCCTTGCGTATACTCCTAAATTAGTATTTTTAATGAAAGTGTTAAAACCGCCATGCCCCATGTGAGAAAACGTCATAAAATTCTCTGCAGCAATTGAGAGGATACACATTACCACTGAACGTTTTAGCATGTATCTATTTACCATAATGAGCTTTTTTCCGGTTTAGGGGGTGCTTTGTTTTGAGATGGAGTCTCCCCCTGTCTCAAGCTGGAGTGTAGTGGCGTGATAATAGCTCACCGTAACCTTAAACTCGAGCTCTAGCGATCCTCAGCCGTCGGACTAGCTGGGATTACAGGCGGGAGCCGCCACGCCCGGCTAAGAGAATTTTTCTAATTGCCCACCCTACTCATGCCACACCCAGAAAAATCTATCATTTTAAATAAAGCACATATGCAAATTTCCCGACTCGCCTCAAATATTCCTTGATTCCCTTTTTCTTTAGGAAATATTGGAGGTTTCCGCGTTGCTTTCTGTGTGGCAAATTTTAAGACTAGAAAGCATTTTCAGTTCAAGACTTTTGTCCACAGTGGATCTAGCAGCTAAAGGGGTTAACAAAATGACGTCAGAGCAGTTACAGTAATGGGCGGGACATTGAATTCTTTCCTCAACCTGAAAGCCTCTCTTCATCTGCAACCAGGCGCAGAGATGGACCAATCCAATAAAGGCGCGGGGATTTTTGAATTTTCTTGTGGCCAATAGTTGGTGTTCTGATGCTATAAAAGAAGAGTAGCTCTTTTTCCTCCACAGACGTCTCTGAAGGCGGGCTTTTCTCCGATTGTTTTTTCGTTTTTGTCATGGCTCGTACTAAACAGACCGCTCGCAAGTCTACTGGCGGCAAAGCTCCGCGCAAGCAGTTAGCTACCAAGGCTGCCCGCAAGAGCGCGCCGGCCACCGGCGGCGTCAAGAAGCCGCACCGCTACCGGCCCGGCACGGTCGCTCTCCGGGAAATCCGCCGCTACCAGAAGTCCACCGAGCTGCTGATCCGAAAGCTGCCGTTTCAGCGCCTGGTGCGCGAGATCGCGCAGGACTTCAAGACCGACCTGCGCTTCCAGAGCTCCGCGGTGATGGCGCTGCAGGAGGCCTGCGAGGCCTACCTGGTGGGGCTCTTCGAGGACACCAACCTGTGCGCCATCCACGCCAAGCGGGTGACTATCATGCCCAAGGACATCCAGCTCGCGCGCCGCATCCGCGGAGAGAGGGCGTAAATGTAAAACTAACTTGATCAGTCTAAAACCCAAAGGCTCTTTTCAGAGCCACCCAATTATTCCAACGGAAATAGCTGTGATAACTGTCTTTTATCGTTAACAAAAATGCCGTTGTCTGTCCTCAAAACGTACTTGGAAGGATTTTCTCAGCCGAATACATAGTCCTCTAGGTTTTCATTATATTATGTATGTATATACAGATTTAAAACGTTGGCTGTTCACATTAACCTGGAATTCTGGTGCAATATGTGAGGCAGGGCTCTAACTGCTCCCCTTTTAGCCATAGCTAGCTACTTTTTGTCTTTCAACTGTTGACCCAACATAATTTAATCCTTTATTAGTTACTTTATGTCTATGGCCTTGCTCGTAATTCGTCTAGTTGGTTGCATTGCTTTTTCTCCAGGACTGTATATACCCATGATATGCCTTTTTTTTTTTTTTAAGAGGTTGGGGATTGAGTATGGAAGATACTGAAAAGTAATATTTACTGTACAATTTTAATAATTTATGTGACTGTAGTTATTTTTTATCATATAGCTGTTACATTTTACAAGCCAACTTTAGAACAACCACATTGTGTCAAACATTAAAAATATTAATTCCAAAGACTTTGCCTCACATTCTTTTTTACACTATTTTTTACACCTAACATTTTCTCTTGGCCCACATCTAGAATGTGAATTGATGTACCATGCTAAAATCACCTGGCCAACTGTCAACAAACCACACACAGAAAAGATTACATTTGAATTTCATCATTTATTTAAATTCATTTGTGTCCCAGGTTTTAATAAAGCTGTTTTTGGTTTACCAAATAATATTTGCATTTTAAAAATATGAAAATGAATGTCTGTTTCACATTTCATTTTTCTTGATTCTTGTATGAGCGACCCTACCTGGCACAGACATTTATTATCCATAGACAGGGTAGGTTAGACATGCCAATGGACAAGGTCTATGCCAAGATGACTGCCCCCAAGCCCTGGGCCCAGCTCAAGGTCAATATTTTGTTTTTTCCAGTTGTAGGTGTGCTGAATCTGATGTACAGTGCTTGATTCTCTTTACATTTTCTTTATAAGAAAAAACAGATGTTGGCGGTACAGGGTCTGACGAATAGCATAAAAGAATAAAGTGACATTACTTTCTAAGGACAAGATGGACAGGGGTTGGTAGCTCAGTTCAGCTATTCTCCCCTCTCCCAGTTACATTCTTTGCCCCCTCCTCAACAGAACAAGGATTCTGCTGTAACTTCATTTATAGCTGATATTTAAAAATTAAAAAATGGATGAAAGTCTCATTTGTGAAAGAAAATTTACTGAGCAATTTGTATTGGGGAGTAGTGCAACAAACATTTTAATATCATTGCATTAAGAATCTATTGTTCTGTGTTAGAGGAGTAATTAAGGTGAGATTGAAGATGAGAAGGGGGTGTTTGCAGAATACGCCACCCAAAAATAGGCCACTGTGGCATGAGAATTCTTTTGAGCTAAAGGCACTTCAAAAATGGCAAATTCAAGAAGGCAATTCGAATCTAACCTTTTCTTTCTAAAAACAGGAGATAAAAATTCGAATGTGAAAAATGCTCTCCCTGTGCCAGGAGAAAAGAAATATTCTTCAGCAGAATCATAGATGAGATAATTCTGCACAAACACAGCAGGCAGTCATAGCTGAGAGACTGCTATTTACAAACCTTGTTAAAATAATGCTATTTTCCTTTAATCTAACCACATGGTTTAGTTACTTTCCCACAATTGCCGCTCTTTAAGCATTTAGCTTTTGTCATTTCTTTGGGTCTTCACTTTCTTTTAAGTGTTTTCCTGTCCCATAAAATTTATATTAAATAAATCTGTATGTTTTTGTTCTGTTAATCTGTTTACGGCAAATTAATTCTCAAGTCCAGTTGGAGAACATAACAGAGTAGAGGTAGAGTTTTGCCTCCCTACAACACAGAGATTTTTGTTCGCCTTAAATACTGATTGTTCCCAGTTCTTCAGTTAAACGGCGTTTTTTCTCCCCAGTCACCACAAAGTGAATACTCTTCTGTAGGCTGAAGTTTATAGCTAATGCTGTTGGGAGTATAAAAGCAGTTTTGGTTTGTTAGATTTGGGTGAAAAGGCTAAGATTCTCAGAGTAAGAAGTCAAGTTCAGGGTGCATTTTTCAGATTTAAAAATCTAGCAGTAGCCGTTCCAGTTCTTCCAATAGAAATTATTTACATGTGTTATCAGGAAATTTAAAACAGTTTATGGAGATTTGAACTGCACTCCATGTTTGGCTGTGGGAAGGCACAAAGGCTGCTATTGTGATCCACCTTGGAAAAGAGAATAAAGGAATATTTTTGGACAATTTTAACGTCACATATGAAAAAACAGAATCTGTCAACACCTTGTAAGTTATTACAGGCTGTGATGTGTAAAAACAGTCCCGATTAAGACATACATATGTGCTGCTAGCAACATAGTGTTGGGAGTAAACACCGGAAAATGAGAGTTCAGGGCAATATCCCAACGTCTGGGCAGATTGTTTAAGTAGTAACATGTAAATTTAAACCACATTATGTAATATCTCTTTTCCAGTCTCTGTTCTTATGCCTTGTTCACATTAGGTAATTAAAAGTCCCCTGAGTATTATCAGTAACACCCGTTTTTGATGAAAAAACTGGTGTTTTACAGACGAAGGCATGGTTGCGATGTTACATAGCTATCACCCTCTTCTGAGACAGTACAGTGTGAAGGGACAGCAAAACTCCGCCCCCATCCTCAGGGCTCTGGCTGGACCAGCAAATGAAACTAATATAAAATTGATTAACAGGAGGAAGAGATATGCATTTCTTTAACACAAGTTTTACGAGGCCCAAGTGCTCTCATAATGAAATGAACGCCCCAAAATGCAGTTAGTTGTTTGTATAATGAATTGGACAAAGAACAGTAAACTGAGAAAAATCGCTAAAGCAAAGGGATTTAGGCTAGGATACATAACTGGGTAGGGAAGCGGCGAGGAAAGGCTGATTTCGCAGTTTGTACAGAATTCTCTTGGTTTCAGCCTCCCATCTTGAGAAGAATGTTGCTTTCTTTAAAGCATAGTGAGAACATCTTTTATATGAGAATTTCATCCACTGCTTTTAAGAAACAAAAGTCAGCTCTCAAGAAAACAGAAGGCCAAGCGATCTTTTCACACCTGCCCTTTTAAAAATTTCCTTTCATTTTAAATAGTCAGTATGTCTTCAAGCACTCGAAGGACTTAAAAAGTTTACCACTCTGGCATATTAAGGAAAGCCCCTAAAATAAGCCCTTATTAAAATTCACACTAGAAGGTATAGCTTTAGATTGCAACAGCAGCGTTGCAAATGGGAAGGGAAAACTCTAAAGGGATTAAAAAGTGAAACTATCCTATCTCTCACAGTCCTTAGGTCAGCGCCCTGACAGAGGCGGAGCAAAGGGTGAGGCAGCAACGCCTCCTTACCCTCGCTACCGCTTTCAGTTCTCAATAAGGTCCGATGGTAGCATATAAATGCTCCTGGCTTGCTTTGATTTCGCATTTTCTTTCTTCGGTTTAGAATCGCTAAACCATGTCTGGTCGTGGCAAAGGCGGAAAAGGCTTGGGTAAAGGAGGCGCCAAGCGTCATCGTAAAGTGCTACGCGATAATATCCAAGGCATTACCAAGCCGGCTATCCGACGCCTGGCTAGGCGTGGCGGAGTAAAGCGAATCTCGGGTTTGATTTACGAGGAGACTCGCGGGGTGCTCAAGGTCTTCCTGGAGAACGTGATCCGAGATGCGGTGACCTACACCGAGCACGCCAAGCGAAAGACTGTCACTGCCATGGATGTGGTTTACGCGCTGAAGCGTCAAGGTCGCACTCTGTATGGCTTTGGCGGTTAGTGTTCTGTTTTTCTTCCCAATGGCCCTTTTCAGGGCCGCCCACTCCCTCTCAAAAAAAGCTGTGACTATTCTGAGAACAACGTTTCGGCTGTCTCAGCCGCTGTACCTAGCGTGCACCACTTACGTAGGCCAGTTGGGAAACACCAGCTTAAGTCTGGGCGGCTGCGCAAGCAGTCGGATTTAAGCAAAGGAGAGGTCGCTGGGATTCCCCCGGCCGCTGAGGTTTTCTCCAGCGGAGGAAAACGCAAAGGGTGTCGACCCTTGGCATGTTACAGCATTAGTGGTCTATATTGTCCTACGTTTCCCGTAAGTGAACTTTAATGCTACGCTTTTGACACACAAACAACTACCGTATAGCGCCAGTTCAATAAATTGTTCAGCTTTTCAGTTTTAAAAATAAGTTTTTAAGTGTTTGTACAAGAGCTTAGGTGCCAGCCGCCTGCAAGTGGGTAGGTCGATTAAAATAGAAGTCAGTTGTTTCCCAGGCATATCTGACTTCAACGTCAGCTAAGGTCTGCACTTTTAGCCTCCCTGGTGACACCTGCCCTCCTTAGCAGCGCCCCCCCCACACACACCACCTGCCCTCCTTAACCCCCCTACCTGTCCGTTGCGCCACAAGCCTTCACCTCCGTTTCTAGTTCATTCTAGTCCAGCTTGGCGTCCTGCTGAGTGACGTCATCTACCCCTTACCCCTCCCTCCCCCAGTAGTCTGCTGATTAAAGCAGCTTTGCTATTTTCAGTCGTTAGGCTGGAGGCTCTGCTAATCAGGCTGCCTAGGCAGTTTAATTTTCACTTAGACTAAAGGGGTCTTTTATAAACAAGGACTCACAATTTCCTCTTGATACCGAGGTCAGTCACAGTAGCTGTAAGATGAGAGCCTCTTCTGACACAGGGCTCTCAGATGACTTGCATCTTCACTGTACCTGTGAAGCCAACAGTCTTTTATCCCTGCCTTAAATTGGAATTGCCTTAAAATACAAAAGCAATTTTTTTAATTGTGAAAATTTCAAACTGTACAGCGTAGTTAGGTTAACTGTTTCAAAGTTAGATGACCAAATTTAGAAGTCAGTCAAATATTCAGCAACTTTGATTTAGTAACAAATATGTTGATGACTACCTCAACAACAAAAAAAACTTTGTTGCCTGGTTACTTTGCTAACAAGGCTCTCTTGACAGGAAGACATAGTGCATAGGCAGTTGAATCAGTTCAGGTGAGAGGTCTGGGCTGGAGATAAAAATGGGAGAGCCAGGCCGGGCGCGGTGGCTCAAGCTTGTAATCCCAGCACTTTGGGAGGCCGAGGCAGGTGGATCACGAGGTCAAGAGATCGAGACCATCCTGGTCAACATGGTGAAACCTCGTCTCTACTAAAAATACAAAAAATTAGCTGGACATGGTGGCACGTGCCTGTAATCCCAGCTACTCAGGAGGCTGAGGCAGGAGAATTGCTTGAACCCAGGAGGCGGAGGTTGCGGTGAGCCGAGATCAACATGGTGAAACTCCGTCTCTACTAAAAATACAAAAAATTAGCTGGACATGGTGGCACGTGCCTGTAATCCCAGCTACTCAGGAGGCTGAAGCAGGAGAATTGCTTGGACCCAGGAGGCGGAGGTTGCAGTGAGCCGAGATCGCGCCATTGCACTCCAGCCTGGGTAACAAGAGTGAAACTGCGTCTCAAAAAAAAAAAAAAAAAAAAAAAAAAGAATCATCAGCAAATAAATAAATGCTGAGACCAAATGAGACGGCTAAAAACAGAAATATAGTCTGTAATCCCAGCACTTTGGGAGGTCGAGGCAGGTGGATCACGAGGTCAAGAGATTGAGACCATCCTGGCCAACCACGGTGAAACCCCGTCTCTACTAAAAAATACAAAAAATTAGCCAGGCGTGGTGGTGCGTGCCTGTAGTCCCAGCTACTCGGGAGGCTGAGGCAGGAGGATTGCTTGAAACCGGTTTCAGTGAGCCAGGATCTCGCCACTGCACCCCAGCCTGGAGATAGAGCGAGACTCTGTTTCAAAAAACAAAAACAAAAACAAATATAATGTAGTGCAGCATTGTTTGTAACAGTAACTGAGTGGGAACTATAAAGTTTCAGCAGAAGGAACTGGATAGAATGCGATCTATATTTCCATAAAATAGACTATTTCTACACAGCCCTACTAAAAAAGGAGAAAGCTGTACTCCACTACTCTGGTGTATTTTGGCTCAGTTCTTGAACTCTTTTCTTGGTGAACACACCTCGCCTCACCACTTACATGCTCAGTGTTCCGTCAAATAGTTTACGTTCAACAGGAAAACACCAAAGCCTAGCTGTAAGTGTCACGTTAACTTCTAGCAATGCCAAAGCCTGTGATAGTGTCAGCTTCTGGCTGTTCCTCATTCCCACCATGCCTAACCAACTCTCCAAATTCTATCAGTTTGCTTCCACCCACTTAAAGCTTCAGAATGAAACATTGTTTCAGAAAAATCGGCCTTTGTGGTGGCTGAGGTCTGTAATCCCAGCACTTTGGAAGGCCAAGATGGGTGGATCACCTAAGGTCAGGGGTTTGAGACCAGCCTGGTCAACACTGTGAGACCCCCATCTCTACTAAAAATACAAAAATTAACTGGGTGTGATTACGGGCGCCTGTAATCCCAGCTACCCTGGAGGGTGAGACAGAAAAATCTCTTGAACCCAGGAGGTGGAGCTTGCAGTGAGTTGAGATCATGCTACTGCTCTCCAGCCTGAATGTCAAGAGTGAAACTCTAAAAAAAAAAAAAAGTGTTTGCAGTTATAAATCATCTCCCCGACTCATATACAACTGCATATTTATTTACATGAATAGCTAATGGGCATCTCAAACTTGTCCAATATAAATGTGTTTATACATAAACACCAAGTCTGTTCTTCCTCTGATATTCCTCACATCAATCAATAAGACTCCATTCTTCAAGCAGCTTGTGCCAGGAATTGTGCAATCTTGTTTGTTCTGAGCTTCTTACAACTTTCATCCAGTGCAGTTCACTCAGCTGAAAATCAATCAAAATACCTTTAACTGCTTTCTGTGCTGCTGCTTTAGGAGCAAGCTGCCACAGTGGTTTGTCTGAATGAACACAGTGACCCCTAACTGGTCTTTGTTTTCACTTTTAATCCCCTTATCAAACAGTTTTTTATCTATCCAACAGCAACAGTGATCCTTTCTAAAGGTATTACGTCCACTGTCTGCTGAGAACATTCCAGTGGCTTTCCATCACCTTCATAATAAAAACCAGCATCTTTATCATAGCCTTGAAGCCAGGTGACCAACAATTTCAGTTTGCCGAATTCTCAGGTGTTTCTCAGGGTATAGGACTTCCAGTGCTGAAACTTAGAAAGTCCCAAGCAAACTAGGATGAGTTGCTCAACCTACGTAGGAGGCCCTGCTACATCTGTACCCCGGCTACCCTCTGACCTCAATCTCTTCACAGTTCTTTCTCTTCACTGACCTCCTTGCTGTTTCTGGAATGGACTAAGCATTACATCAGCATCTTTATATTTGTTCTTTCTCCCTAGAAATGTCTTATCCTGGAAATCTGAAGAGGTCTAGATCTCATATCACTCAAGCCTCTGCTCAAATGCCAACCTTAAGAGACCTCCTATGATCATCTTTGGTAAAATATTAAGCTTTTCTGCTCATTTGACATGTATATAGCTGACTATGCTCAAATAGCCTGTATACGTACACACATATATAACAATATATTTAACAAAAATACATGTAACAATATATATATATGTATATATATTATTTTCTGTTTGTTCTCTCTCCCCCAAATGGAATATATTTTTTGAAGGTAGAGACTTTGTTTTTTCCCGGAAGTATGCCTAGCACCTAGAACAGGCCTAACATTTAATAGGTAGTTTATGGAGTTTTGTCGAATGAATGCATGCATGAATCTTCTCTGTAAGTCCCCAGGCTCCCACTAAGCCCATTAGAATGCTACAAGAATCAATTCTCCATCTCTCACTCCTTGACCTTGCCACTGCCTAAAGCAATCAGCGTGTTGTTTTTCTCTAGAAAGTCTGGGGGGATAGTGCAGGGCTTGCTAATTAAGCAACATCAACTTTGTTCTGAACAAGGAATGAGTGTTAGGATTGAAGAAGGCTAAAGGTGGTGGTGAGAATGTCTAAGATGACTATGATCTATCAGCAATGCTATGAACTAAAAAGGCCAGGCAAAACATAACAGGAGCTAGTTATGGATATTGTTATAGCAACCATACCTCCTATATGGGAAATCTATATCCACACACCTCTCTACATTGACTCTGGAATTCAGGAAAGGGAATTATAATTTGCTAACTTACGTACCCCAATGTCTACAACAATATCTGGCATATAAAATTCATAAATATTTCTAGAATACCAGCTAAAAAAGACATAAAATGACCCACCTTCTGTACCTAGGCTCATCTTTGCTCTTCTGACTCTTCAATTCCTGAAACCATCCAGGATGTAGATACTAATTCTCTTCATTGTCAGTTTTAAATTAAACCAAGCTGTGTACATGTGTAAATTCCCCCAAGAAATCCTGGATGAAAACCGTCAGGTGGAAAACAGGGCCCCCAAATAAAAAGACATCCATCACTGAAGCCAACATAGTGAGGCCAAAATCAGTCCTCTGTAACAATGGTACAAAGAAGAGCACAATGACAAAGGCATTTGTGAATATCTCTTCAGATGAGAGTAAGATTTTTCCCTGTTAGCTAACTTCAGGTAAGTTCACATCCATTATCCTGGTGAGTTCTGAAGCTTGATGTACTACTGGAACACATAACTGGATCAAGAACATCCTTTAATACTATGGCTATAATGACTTGACTGGACAAAGCCCAGGCTTCCAAGTTAAGCCCAAGAGGCCCTTCACAGACCAGCAGTGCCTATGCGAACAACCTCATGTCCTGGCACCCTGCCTGCATCATTTCTCTCTGTGTGTGTATATAGAAATACGTATGTGTATGTATATAAAACCAGCTTTACTGGTATTTTACATACCATAAGGTTTACCCACTTTACGTGCAATTCAATGAATTTTACCATGTTACTTAGTTGTACAACCATCATCACAACCTAATTTCAGAATATTTCTATCACCCAAATTTCCATTTCTACGTAAAGGGCGGGGAGGAGAACATGGCTAACTGCTGAAGGCTGCATTAACATTGAAATAGGCGCGTTTCTCTCTAAACCAGTTTTAATCTCCCCTAAATTTAGTGTCCTGGATATTCCAGGAGTCTGAATCCGGCTTCAATTTTCAGGGCTTTTTTTTAAATCGAGGCAAATCGTATTGGTGGCAATAAATTTAGTACTGCTCTCAGTGCATGATTGAAGGATACTTAAAAAATCTCTGATTTTCCTTCATAATCCCTAAAAAAGTTTTTTTTCCTGAAAAGGTTTTGTCATTTCTCAACAAACTTCTTAGCTTCCCCTCGAGCTCTCTGGATTGCCTAGAAAGTATTGGCTCATCAGCTCTGATTGGTTGACAGCTACTAATGAGGCTCACTGATTGGGCAGCGTTTCTCTTTGTTCCTTGGAAACTAATACAAATTCTTTGAAAACTAATATAAATTCTTATCACTACTAGTTTTTTTCCATTCATTTTTCAGAATAAGAAAATATCTATCTAGTGAGTGGAGGGGACTAAATTCCCATAATCTTTGCTGTCAGGGTTGTCAGCTCAGTATCATTCATGTTCATCATACACTGAGCTTCTTGGGTTAATGGATACAGCTCTTCTTTTGTTTAGTTGGGCGGCCCTGAAAAGGGCCTTTTGTCTAGAAAGGAAAGCTGTGGAGAAATCGGCAACCTTAGCCGCCAAAGCCATAAAGGGTGCGTCCCTGGCGCTTGAGCGCGTAGACCACGTCCATGACAGTGACCGTCTTACGCTTGGCGTGTTCCGTATAGGTGACAGCGTCACGGATCACGTTCTCCAAGAACACCTTAAGCACCCCTCGGGTCTCCTCGTAGATCAGACCAGATATCCGCTTGACATCCGGCGGGCAAGGCGCCGGATGGCCGGCTTGGTGATGCCCTGGATGTTGTCACGCAACACCTTGCGGTGGCGCTTGGCACCCCCCTTACCTAAACCCTTCCCGCCCTTACCACGTCCAGACATGACTTCCCAAAAAGTGAGCCAAGAGCAAGTGAGAGAATAGCGGAACCGATCTTTATATATCTACCTTCCTCCAACCCCAAGTAGACACAGAATACAAAGTGCGCAGGCGGGAAATGTGACGTCTACAGTCTCCTCCCTTAACCCCTCCTCCAAGCCGCAGGAACTGACGGGACAACGGGTGGGGAAGGGTGGGGAAAGGAGGGTGGAACCAAACTGACTTGACCAATGGCCTTTTACTTTCTTAGCAGAGTCACATCGTTACGCTTTGACGAACAGTGTCAAATGTAAACCCATCCTCATTCCAAATCTATTTTAAGCCGAATACTTTGAGTCGAAAAGTATCCGTCTGCCGCCCAGGATAGAATGCATTGGTGCGATCTCCACTCATTGAAACCGCTGCCTGCAAGGTTCAAAGCGTTTCTCCTGCCTCAGCCCTGAGTGTAGCTGAGATTACAGGCGCTCGCCATCACGCCCAGCTTGTTTTCGTATTTTTATTGGAGACCGGGTTTAGCTATGTTGTCCAGGCTGATCCCCATCTCCTGAACTCAGGTGACCGGCCTGCCTCAGCCCCTAAAGTGCTGGGACTGCATGCGCGAGCCACCGTGACTGGTCAAAATGGAACGGTTTTTAAACCTTTGGTGGTGAGCCCAAAAGAAGTTAAGTGACCCCAGTGCATTTTCTTTCCTCTAAGTTGGTTACTTACAGCTACTTTACTTGAGCATGTGGTGGCTCTGAAAAGAGCCTTTGATTGGCCAGTGAGATACCAAAGTAATTATGCCCGCTCTCCGCGGATGCGGCGAGCAAGCTGGATGTCCTTGGGCATAATAGTGACACGCTTAGCGTGGATGGCGCACAGATTGGTGTCTTCAAACAGCCCCACCAAGTAGGCCTCACACGCCTCCTGCAGAGCCATCACAGCGGAACTCTGGAAACGCAGGTCCGTTTTAAAATCCTGCGCAATCTCGCGCACCAAACGCTGAAAAGGTAGTTTACGGATCAGTAGCTCTGTAGACTTCTGGTAACGGCGGATCTCGCGCAAAGCCACCGTGCCGGGTCGGTACCGGTGAGGCTTTTTCACGCCGCCGGTGGCCGGCGCGCTCTTGCGGGCCGCCTTAGTAGCCAGCTGCTTGCGCGGAGCCTTACCACCCGTAGACTTGCGAGCAGTCTGCTTAGTGCGAGCCATGACGAAGAGAAACTCACAGCACAAAAGCAAACAGTAATGCCGGTAGAACCTCCGGCGGCTCTGCTATTTATAGTCTGCAAAGTGCAGTGATTGGATGATAGAAGACGATGACTATGACGTTACAAGCTCTGATTGGTCTATCTTCAAGCCAGCAGCAAACCTGCACTTTCACTGGCCACTATATTCTATTTCAAATCTACAGATTATTATTTTTTAAGTGGCATTTTATTATTAGTTTAGTTTAGTTTTGCTTTGTTCCCTGAGCTGGCCTCAACTCTTGGGCTCAAAGGATCCTACCGCCTCAGGGTCCGGAGTAGCTAGGATTACAGGCCAAGCCACTGCGCCGGCTTGGACTTTAATTTTATTCCCTTCTACACGTAGTTTTCATCACCTGAAGGCAGTGTTTACTTTTTCATGAAACAAGACATTGATCCCAAAGGTATTATAGTTCTCCAGTTCTATATAACCTTCAGCTTTTTAGGAGAGAACAAGAGAGAATATTGCTCACCTCCTCTCCGGAAATGTACCCTTTCCAGGAATTTCCGAAACTTTTCAGAAGTGGATTCCTTTGTAACACCTTGACTTAGAAGCGTTAATGAAATCTGCAAAGCATCTCAAACATAGGGTTACACTATGACTCATAGAAGCATTGTCTATGAGACGTCTTTCTCTTGTTTATGCTCTCTGAATCCTAAATTTGCAGCGTTCCGCAGCTTTTGTTTTCTAAAGCCTAGGTGTACTCTGCTGGTGGCAAAATGGCCGTTCTCCTTCACCGCCGCCAGGTACCACCAGCTGGGAATTGTTCCTTTTGCGAGCAGGAGGTGGACTCGGCCCAAGAGAAACTGGATGGTATTCCGCAAGGAACATAATTTAGCATTGCCAAAAGCTAACACAATCAATTTAAAAGTCTCAAAATGCTAAAATATGAATTGTGACCGCTTTTATATTAACAGGAAGCAGGCCATATTCTACCTTTTGATTGGTTTGCGCTATTTTGTCATACAGCCACTTAGAAAAACTGACGTAGCATCCTTCATTTGCATGGAGCGTTCCCATTTTATTTGAAGCCAGTTTAACCCAATACAAACAAAGGAGACAGAACCCATTATTTGAAATGGAAACTCCTGAATAAAATAATTCGGAGTATTTCCTTTTTAAAAGTTGCATTTTTTCAGATACCTCACTTATTACACTAAGAAAGATTAATATCTTTCAAAAAGGGTTTAGTCACAAAATTATTCCAAGCGTGTATACCTGCGTTTCATAACTGGCCGTCAAACCAAGATGCAGAGTTTCGAACCATTATCTTCCAAATTCTTAGAAATTACATGAAACATTTGAAAGCATGGCTTCTCAATAAAATGGGACGTAAGAAGCACTGCTGCAGAAGATGGACACAATATTTATCTGGGACTCCTACATTATTTGGTTGGCACGTTGTTTGAAGGAAAAGGGGAGAAGCTCAGGTTACTTAGCACAGTGCGGACTTATTTGAAAACTACAACAGCACAAGCGGAAATAAGACCTCACTACCTCACTCTCCACTGTGCTAGGGGTTTATACAGAATAGGATTGTGGAAGTGGATGTCGATTTAATAGCTGTTTATTCTCCCGTTACCTGAGTCTCTGATTGGGAATGTGAGATCGTTTAGCTTTATTGATACTCTGAAATGCTTTAACAGCCACAAACAAGTTAAAAGGATGTTACCATAAAATCTTATCCCCAGGGTGTGCCGTTTGTTTTCACACTAAGGGGACTTAAACTCCCAGCAGAATGCCTGTCAGGGAACCGATTTCGTCTACCCAGCATTTATTTAATACCTTTCGCAGGCTTGTGAGGCCCATAAATCTTTGTTGAATAAAAGAATGAGTTGAACATACCATGATAGGCTGATCGTATATGCTGAGTTGAAACACAGGTTGTAAACCTCAGCACCCATCTGGGGCATGTTGTATGGGTGAAAAGGGCATTGGAAATTCCTGAAGTGCATTGGACTGTGGAAATAAGTTGCAATTGCAGAAACTTTTCCACACTTCTGCAGCGTTAGTGAATTCTGGTGGTGTTTACGATTCATTCTTCTTTGACGTGAAAGGTATTCGCCAGACACATCGCTCTAAAACATTGCCAGAAAACGTAAGAGTTGGTGACAACTAGCCCTAACGCGACCTAACACCGGCGCTTTCCTCTCTCCCTCCCCAATAATAACACTGAATTTTGCATTTCTTGCAAATGAAAAACGAACATCTCTGGCAACAGACCTTTAATAATTTCTGATAAAACTCCTCGCATGCTTATGGGGCTGCATTTACAAACTACTCCCCCTCAACCCACTCCCTAAAAAAGAGCTGCTTTTTGAGAGAGAAGCTGCACCCTCTGATGTTACTGGGCGGCAGTCGCCTACAATTTCCTTCACAACGAGGAAACCCGGGCGGGTTTTTCCGTGTGTTTGCTTGCGATGAGCAAAGCAAGACCGTAGGCCCTACAGGCCCCCAGCTGCCTTCTGAGACTGGACCAAAGCCTCGGCACTGCGAGGGGCGGGGCACTAACGGGCACCAATCACCGCGCAGTCCCACCCTATAAATATGCCGCGTCGGGGGCGTTTTTTGGCATCCTGCTTTGTCAGGTTTTACCAGTTTGCTTAGTGTACTCCGTCAGCATGTCCGAAACGGCGCCTCCCGCTTCCACCGCCTCAGCTGATCCTCAGAAATCTTCAGCTGGCAAGAAGGCTAAGAAACCAGCTAAGGTTGCAGCAGCCACCAAGAAGAAACCCGCAGGCCCCTCTGTGTCGGAGCTGATCGTGCAGGCTGCTGCCTCCTCCAAGGAGCGTGGTGGTGTGTCACTGGCTGCCCTTAAAAAGGCTCTGGCGGCCACCGGCTACGATGTGGGAAAGAATAACAGCCGCATTAAGCTGGGCGTTAAGAGCCTGGTAAACAAGGGCACACTGGTGCAGACGAAGGGCACCGGCGCCTCGGGTTCCTTCAAGCTCAACAAGAAAGCATCCTCCGGGGAAGCCAAGCCCGGCCCCTCAAAGGTGGCGGCGAAAACCAAGGCGACGGGCGCATCTAGAAAGCTCAAAAAGGTCACGGGGGCTGTTACCAAAAAAAGCGTGAAGACTCCGAAAAAGGCTAAAAAGCCTGCGGCCACAAGAAAGCCCTCGAAGAGTCCCAAAACTGTAAAGCCCAAAAAAGTAACCAAAAGCCCTGCTAAAACCAAGGCTATAAAACCCAAGGCGGCCAAGGCTAAAGTGACGAAGTCAAAGACTGCCAAACCCAAGAAAGCAGCACCCAAGAAAAAGTAAATTCCAGTTGGAAGCTTCTTACAGTGACCCAACGGCTCTTTTAAGAGCCACCTACATATTTCAGCAAAAGAGCTGTAGTACACAGAATCCCCCCGTCAAATGCAATACGCCCGCAGTTGTATTAGAATCATTGAAAGAGTCAAATTTAACATAGGTTGAGTAAAGCTAATTACTACCAGATGAGGCTATCGAAGATAGCAAGGTGACTTCAAATGCACCGAATAATGAAAATCAGTGTTTTAAAGTTACCTGGGGCCTTCTGTAAGTAGCCCAAAGTCCCGTGTCTCGCGACCCCAAGCTAATTAGTCATAACCGTGTAAAACCAAGATCGAGTCCCCGTCTCAGGCTTGAGGCTTTTTATTATGTGCAAGGATAAAGTGGAGACATTGCCTTCTTGAGTCAATATTGCTAAAGTTAGCTTTTTCTGAAATTGAGAAATGGTTCTTAGTTGGTAAAATTCATGGCTTAACCACTCCGCAGGAGTGTTTAGCGAGTTGTCTGTCCTTGGGAATGACAGTGACCCTGCTGGCGTGGCTGGCGCCCACGTTGGCATCCTCTAAAAGCCCCACCAGGAGGGCCTAGCTCGCTTGCTTTCTGCAGCGCCATCATGACAGAACTTTGAAACGCAAAATGCTCTTGCTTTGCGCAGCGTCTTACTATCCTGGGTGCATTTGAGGGCTATCGGTTTGGTTTAGGCCCTCGTCAAGACAAAGGATGTTAGTTGCAGTGGAGTTTTACAGCTGAAATCCAAGAGCCCTTGTTAGGTGTCTGTTTATAGAAACAGAAGCGCCCCGATTGGATATTTGAAAATTACTGTGCTTAACTGGATCGTCTTTCACAGGATTTTCAACCCTGGTGGAGTCCATATATTAAATACTGAAGATCCTTTTCTCAGAACTGCCCCTTTAAGCTTTTGCACTTTTAAGTCTGGGTTTCAGATTTTAATAACTGGATTTTTGTTTACATCTGACAAAAACAGTGGTATATGATCAGCCAAGTTTACTCACTTTTTCATAGTGCAGCTCAATTAGTTCTAAAAGTTTATTTTTGCATGTGAGCTAATAATCAGCTGTATTTTTCAAGCAGTCGGTCTTTTTTCATTTGCTTTGCTTAGCTGCTTCAGTTGTCTAAAGTCAGCAATACAGGCACATCACATCCCTGTTCCCCCTCCCTCAAACCAATATGTAGTAGCTACCTATGTATTCCTTTAAAAAAAAAAAAAAAAAAAAAAGGTTTTTTTCCTCATCTATTTTTGTGAGAAATATGTTTTTCTTTGAACTAAGTCTTTTACATACACCTATATACATGCATGGTTTTGGTTTTTCAGTTCTGTTTTTTAATGTTTTGAGACAGGGTCTCACTCTGTTGTCCATGTTAGACTGCAGTGGCATAATCGCAGCTCACCTCCAAATACCGGGCTCAAGCTATCCTGCCACTTCAGCATCCAGAGTAGCTGGAATTGCATGCCCACACTACCATGCCAGGATAATGTTTTACTCTTTGTGGAGACAGTCTCACCATGTTGCCCAGACTGGTCTATAAACTGGCCTCAAGCAATCCTCGGCCTCCCAAAGTGTTGAGATTATAGTCACTGGGCCTGGCCTCATATGCATAGTTGGTTTGTCTTTTCATTAGATTATTAATTAAAAAAACAAAGGCTGGGTGCAGTGGGTCACACCTGTAATCCCCAGCACTTTGGGAAGCCGGGTGGGCAGACTGCTTGAGCTCAGGAGTTCGAGACCAGCCTAGGCAACATGGTGAAACCCTGTCTTTACAAAAATATACAAAAATTAGCCAGGCCTGGTGGCATGCACCTGTAGTCCCAGCTCCTTGAGAGGCTGAAGTGGGAGGATGATTGGAACCCGGGAGGTAGAGGCTGCAGTGAGCAGAGATTGTGCCACTGCACTCATGCCCAGGGAACAGAGTGAGATCCAGTCTCAAAACAAAAATAATAAAAATTTTTTACAGTGATGTTATATACACTTCTGCATGTTTCTTTTCTCTTATCCAGACTTTAATAAAACCCTGTCATTAAAGAAACAGAAATCCTTCAAATGGAGTGGCATAAGTTATTCGCCCATTTCTTTTTGATAAGCATTGATGTTTCCAGTTACCACTTCTGAACTTGGTGCTATTGAATAGAATTCCAGGGTTGAGACTGCTAGGTTTTAGGTTGTATTTTATTATTTTATTTGTTTTTTTAGACAGAGTCTCGCTCTGTCCCCCACACTGGAGTACAGTGGCATGACCTTGGCTGCAACCTTTGCCTCCCAAGTTCAAGTGATTCTCCTGCCTCCAGTCTCCAAAGTAGCTGGGATTACAGGCACCCGCCACCACACCTGGCTAATTTTTCTATTTTTAGTAGAGATGCAGTTTTACCATGTTGGCCAGGCTGATCTCAAGCTCCTGGCCTCAAGTGATCCACCCACCTTATCCTCCCAAAATGCTGAGATTACAAGTGTGAGCCATGGCACCAGGCCTGGACTTTGTCTTCTGTTTCATCAGTCCTTCTGTCTATTCAAGCACCAGTACCATGCTGTTCTATGATTCTATAAAAAATACTGTAAAGGCTGTCCACCCTTACTGCTCTTATTTTTTAATTTTAAGGCAATTGTAGATTCCAGCTTTCCAAAGAACTGTGCAATGCTTAGAGCTAGATACGCCTGGGAGATCATTTAGTTTTTATTTTTATCAGAGAAAATTCTGTAGAGACTCTATCCTGCTCTCATTGAGTACCATTCCGTAACACCCCACATCAGCTTTAAAGGGCAATAATACCTTATGGACAGTATGCTTTTCCTCAAATATATTCTAAGCCATGGTCAATGCAAAAGAGAGAGAAGGAGAGTGGAATAAGTTATTATCTATGAATCCATGGGTGCTCTCTTTTAACTGCTTTATCACTCCCTCTTCCAATCTCTCTGGAAGGTCACCCTGCTTTCCTTTCTACATAAGAACTCCTAACTCCACGGGAGGAAGATAAGTTATTTATATCCCATGCTTAGGAAGAGAGAAAATGGGTTTGGTAAACGTCCACTTTCTGCTCGCATTCTCTGTGTTTCTGTGTTTTTCATAGGATAATTCACTTATCAGTTGGCTCTTAAGAGAGAATGCAAGGTTCAAGGATACGAACCTAAATGCAGTCTGTATAGACCTTATGATTTTCTACTTCTCTAAAATCAAGCCTGGAGACATGGTGAAAGTGACACATGAATATGCAGTATCTCATATCCCTCCGTGTGGAGAAGGTGCACCACGGGAAATAGCAGTAGGTCAGTGACAGTTAACAACTCCCTGGTGGCTTGATTTTATTCTTTTATTTATAAAACTATTAATACACTACATAGTCCTTAACTGTGCCACAAAGAGTCACTATTTTAATTTCATTAACTCCTTATTTCAATATTGATAAATGAAGAAAAATATGAGTAGCAGGTAAGCAGTCTCTCGAACTAGATATAAAGCAAATTGAAGATTTTAAATTGATTCTGAATGCTTAAAATCCTTCTCATTGAAAGAAATTTTCTTATTAGAAGATTTCAACATTCTTTAAACTGAGAAGCATAATATATAAACAGCAAATCATAGCAAAACAAAAATGCAAAACTCAATAAATGAACGCAAAATTAACACCATAATTGCCACACAAGTAAAAAAACCAGAAAATCAGCCAGCCCTCCCAGAGCCACCTCATGCTTGCTTCCAGTCACAGATGACTCCATCTGTCCTAAACATAACCCCTATTTTGATCTCTAACGCTGTAATTTAGTACGCCTGTTTTTGAAACATAAAATGGAAATAAAACACAGATAATCCTTTGTACCTGGTATCTTTCACCCAGAACATTAAGTTTGAACAGATTAATCTGTGTTGCTGTGTATAACTTTAATTCATTTTTATTTTTATGTACTATTTCTTTTTATCATTGTGCCACAGTTTAGGTATCTACTTCGTTGTTGATGCATATTTGTTTCCCTTTTTCAGCTAATATAAACAATACTGTGAATATTCCTATGTACATGTCTGGGTACATACAGGAATATGTATCTGTTGTTTGTATACCTAGGAGAGGAATTGTTGGGCCAAATGCTAAACTCTTTCTGAAAGTGGTGATATAGGTTTACGTAGAATGAAATGAAAATTAAAACCACAGTTATAAACTAACACGGATAAATACCACAAACCTCATGTTGAGTGGAGTCTAGCTGGGAATTCCTGTTCTTCAATATACTTCTCAATACTTTTTTTCCCAATTAAAATTTTTAGTCTTTTAAAAATGTTATCCACTGTGACAGATGTGCAGCAGTAGCTCGCTACGGTTTTATTTTATATCTTTTACCCATTTTTTACTTAATTAGATTATGCATCCATCTGCTTGGGCTGCCATAACAAAAATTCCAGACTAGGTAGCTTAAACAAAAGAAATGTATTATCTCATAGTCCCAGAGGCCAGGCCAGAAATCCTAAATCGAGGTGCCAGGAGATTCAGTTTCTAGTGAGGCTCCCTTCTTGACCTGAAAATAGTTGCTGTCTTAGACTGACGCTGAATAGAATACCTGAGACCAAGTAATTTATAAAGAAAGAGATTTATTTCTTAAAATTCTGGAGGCTGTAAAACCCATGGTCGAGGGGCCCACCTCTGGCAAAGGCTTTCTTACTGTGTTATCTCACGGCAGATGTGAGATGTCATCTCACATTCAAACCATAGCAGTCGCCTTATGGGTTCTCATGTGACCTCTTTGTATGCCCATAAAATGACCTCATGTCTCTTCCTTTACTTATTAGGACACCAGATCGATCAGATTACTAATCCATTCTTATGACCTCATTTAACCTTAATTATCTCCGTACAGGTCCTATCTCCAAATATAGTCATATTGGATGTTAGAGTTTCAACATCAATTTTGGGAGAACACAATTCATTCCATAACAGATTGTGTTTTTTCTTGCTGGTTTAACAAAGCTGTGTTTTGTTTTGTCTTGTTTTTTGAGACAGAGTCTTGCTGTATCACCCAGACTGGAGTGCAGTGGCGCTGTCTCCCGTTACTGCAACCTCTG